ATATTAGAATTTATATAAATATTGTTATGTCAAATCTTAATTGTTTAAACTTACGCATGTAAAAATCACTGAGAAACAGAGGAGAAAATATGTACTGCGTGCGTGGCTCAAAGCGACATTCGTACACGACACCTAATCGATCGTATACCTTCACATTGCGGCGCGCCCCCTTCGGCCACAGGGTTTCACCAAAATAAAGGATGTCTTACTTTGATTATTATATTCAAGTATTTAGGTTACCTATTTGGTAATAGTGGTTCGCTATATATAGTAAGAAGTAATCTCTCAATTTCCATTGTTTTGTAACGAGGTCAGAAGTGAAATATTTGAATTCGTCTAGAACTGTATTCAGTTATGAATACATGTTTGTAGACACTCGCATGCCTAAACAAATAGTTCATGCATTTTTATATGTAGACATTCCTGTTTAAAATTCGTAGCTCTGCCAGACGAAGACATACTATATAATTCTCATGACTAATCGTGAAAAGTCCACAAATATATATTTTTCAGATGCTATGCTCAATTTGCGAGGTTGTGTAAGAAAAATAAGTATCATTTGAATAAAAATGTGGTTTCAAAATCAATATTTTATTTATTATGGTAGATTGGAATTACGGAGTGCTGGAGCTCAGTAGGCTTTAAAGGCCCCGTACTCTCTAACACTGCAGACAGTAATATTTATTCAACTTGAAAAACTTTGTATGCTCGTCCAGATCCACTTGGTATGGGGGAATTATCCATCACTGTTCTAGTTCCAGAGTAAATCTGACCTTTGGGAGTGTATAATAAAACCATCCAGGTGATTAGTATTTTAACTTTCATAGGAATCAGGTCTCATCAGATTGCTTCAGTATATCAACAGATTTGCCTAAATAACTTATCAGGAATTTGCAAGATAAATCGTATGAAGTGCTCCCAGAGAACACGTGAATAAATTTGAGATACTACTTAGACTTGTTTGCTTGGTTGGTGAAGTCACATGTATACGTCTGTTACTCAAAAATTGTATCATATCTTGCACAGTCTGTTATAAGACACTGGCAAATGCCATAACGCTTACAGAAAGTTTTAATGACAGTCATGTTAAGCGCGGCTGCATGGTCCTTTGCTTTTCGATAATATCATCCCAATTAATCAGTACCAATCCACGTAGCCCTGGCGTGGCAAATAATTGTGTACCTTTGCTGGCTCATTTATGTCTTTAATTGTTTAAAGTGAAATTTCCTTAGATGTGCTTTCCATCAATAATCTTAAAATACGAGATATATACAAGTAATATTTTTTGCTCCTGAAATGTACTAAATCTTGAAATATTTTCTATAATTCTCTTTCTTAATTGGACTACGTGGGCGTAATTTTCTATTGGCTAAAACAAAAACTGTTGTATTTTGTGATATGTGACAAGAAGTGATTTCCAATAGTTAAATTATTGATTCGGTTCCATATTAATTTATCAACCCTCATTTTTATAAGTTTTCGTGATACCAAAAATACAATTACTATTCTCTGTCTAGACACATCATCAATACAAAAATATTTACCACAACTGAACATAAAATTCACCCACCTTCTAAGCGCACTGGCTAAAACGAAAACTGTTGTATTTTGTGATATGTGACAAGAACTGATTTAAAATAGTTAAATTATTGATTCAGTTCCATATTAATCTGTCAACCATTTATTTATATGTTTTCGTGATACCCAGAAAAATTACTATTCTTTCTCTAGACACGTCATCAATAAAAAAAATCTTTATGCTGGTCGTACACATGTTTAAAATAGCAATATGCAGTTTTGTTCTCTGGTTTCATGGAGAGCATTTACAGTGTGTTGTGGGAAAATTAAAAAAAAATGCAGTGATAAAAATTAAAATAAAATAAAAACAAACTGTAATTGAAAAGTGTCATATATTAGAATTTATATTAGTAATGTTGTGTAATTTGTCTAATTGTATTAGGTTAACCATGTAAATGTTACTGTGTCACAATGTAAGGCCTGCTTATGTCTAAAAAGAGGGCTCTCACAGAACACACACTGGACAGTGGGTTCATTCACTGCTAGTATGGGGTAGACAAGACAGTAGCTCTGGAAATGAAATACACATACATAAAAATGTTATTAAGTTAAAGCTCCTGGATTTACTACCTCTCAAAATAATTAAACGAAACAAAGAACATACAAATACAATGAATAAATTCACTAAAATAGGGGATTGCTTAGGGAAGTGTGCATTTGTGATAACTCACAGTTCCAGGATGTAGAAATGGATGACGGTCAATGGCTCTGCAACACAACAACGAAGAAATACAGGAGTCTTGATTGCAGAGAAACGCTGTTATTCTGGAGGGCACCACAGAGAAGTTCATACAAGTCTCACATAATGATGGATGCAGCCTGTATGACTTGTGTCATAAGATCGTAGCAGGAACACACATGATATTAAGTTGAAATGATGGACCCCCAACTGCCCAGATTCAGGGACACCACCTGGGTTTCCACATGAGCCAATCAGAATGTGATCTTTCTAGCAGCTCGGTCACGTATGCAACTCTGTAGATCGTAAACATCTTTTGTTATTCAAATAACAGCACACCTGGTAGATTCCAATTGTCCTGCCAATGTTGTAAACAACCTTTGTTATGTAAATCACAAACACACCTGGTAGATTCCAACTGTCCTTCCAGAGTTGAAAACAAGTATAACCTGTCAATCACCTTTATGACCGTTATCACACGGCAATGCACTCCGTTTCTTCCCATGATTCCTTGCACACTTCTCTTTGCAGGGTTTGAGGTAATGTGACAAAACACAGAATACAGGATGCTGATACACTGAATAAACGGCAGAGTAAATATATACTGCGGGCTTGGATTACAGCGAAGCTAATAAACTATACCTAATGGTCAAACTTAACATTACGGCACTTCTCCTCTCGGGCACCATGCATTCCTCAGTGTTATTTTGATTATTAAAATCCAAGTAAGATCATGCAAATTGATCAGTACAAATCGACGAAGCCCTGGTGTCACAAAATAAATGTGTTCACTTGCTAGCTGATTTAAAAAAAACAAGTTTTGTAATATGTGAAAACAAGTGACTTGAAATAGTTAAATTAATGATTTCATTCATTTTAACCATTAATTTCGTTGGTTTTCATGACACCATGAAACATATATTATTCTCTATGTAGCTTAATCTTCTGAATTGAATGGTGTAGTAAAGTCTGTGTTCGATATGGCTAAACAGGCTGGAGACAACAGCTGGGTTGACCAAGCACACTTTATTGTTGCTACTCGTACAAGGCTAATATAACGACAGTCAATTAAATAGCTTAAGTACAGGCGGGAAAGTTTATTGTTTCAAGAATGCGATTGGAAGGTAAAGCTTGAACTTTCTAGTGAATATGTCATCGAAATAATCATCTGCTTCCAATATCACGTCTCCTAGTTCTTCCGCATTGGCTATAATGTGTGTATCAAGCCCCGTGAGTACGTCATATTTGTTCGGCTATCCTCACCATATAAATGATTAGATTCTCCAACTCGTCGTTTTTTTCGATATCAAATGATGAAAGCTAACGACAGTCAATTGAATAACCCAGGCGGTAAAGTTTTATATTACAAGGATGCGATTGGTAGATAAAGCTTATCATGATAGGACAGTTACGATAATAAGAATGTACATAATAGGCCGACATTAACTGTTTTATCCAGAATTCGAGAGTACCATTAAGCTCGAAAATAGTTTGCAACAAAGTCCTCCCAACGAAGTTGTTAAAACTCCTTGATGAAAATGTGTTGGCGATCTTGAATGTCATATTAAACTATTTCACCAGTGATTTGGTCATATTAGTTTCATTTTTTTTTCATTGATTTTAAATAAAATTGTCATTGTGTGGGCATTAGCACATGCGCATTGAATACTTTTTTGTATTGCCACGCCTACTGCATATGAACTGACTTTTATAAATAACGTGTTTATTCTAACCAACTCTCAATTCTCCAGTTGCTGTTGTTGGTGAGTCCACCTCTGCAAGTAAGTATGGTATTATTGAACGTTTTTCTCATTTTCACATTTTTGTGTATGTTTCACCTGTACAATATAATTCTTCATTACGGAATATCATTGTTCATGCCGTAATTTTCTACGTTTGTGGGTCCACTGTCTGCTCGCTTGGTATGGACGAATTGTTGTTGTTAAACCGACTCCCTTTTAGTATGCCCAATTCGGGTATACGTCGTAGTCTGTCACCTTTTTGAAACTAGCTTAAATGAAGTTGTGGTTACAAATTAGTTATCTTTCTGTAATTCCATCAATTTTAAGTTAGAACAGCTCTAGCATATTGTTTGCACATTTTTTTTCTTTGAAATAATGATTTCTATAATTCACTGAAAACTCTTGGCTGATTATGTGGTGTATTATCTTCAAATTTATTGCTTTTCTAAAATGTCGTTTCTTTCTCTCTACTTCTTTGCCAACAAAGATATATCAAGCACGTAGTTTGACGTGATCAATAAAGCAAGTTCAAACATTATAATTTATATGTATTGTGCATTATAGCAACCCGATGCGTTCTCCCACCGAAAACATGACCCGATTTAACACAAACACATGTGCACTTGAAGCTTCTTTAAACAAATCCTAGACAGTTGAATTTGCCTTGACAATTAGTATGTGAAATACCTACATTGTTTTTGTTCAACCACAGATACTACTTGAAACATTCTAATTTGTTTCGTCTATGTTTATTGTATTTATTACAGATTGTGTTCAGATTTCGCAACTTTCTGAAGGTGGGAACGATGGCAAAACTTCAAACAGTGTATTCCTTACTTGTAGTGTTGGCGATGTTTATATGTGCTATACACTCGGTAAGTGACTAATGATTCTTAGGAACTCTTATTTTTGTGTTATATTTTGTATTGATGATACGTATATCAATATTGTTTCAGACTGAACCACCCGAGGATACACAAACGACTATAGCCGAAAAAGAAATCGAAGCAAAACGTGAATGTGAGTACAAATACATTCCAATCACTCAGTCTATAATGTTATTTAGAATGCATTACTGATATTAGAAATAACATAAACAGCGACAGGTTTTTATGATTGATGATGTTATTCATTTCAAGTCAAAAATAATAATTGTTTCCATTGACAAATCTAGTGTTTTTGATTTACTTATTTAAATAATATTCTCCAATATACAAGCTTAAGTTTACGGGTGTGTCATTTTTTTGTAATTCAAGACGAATTGTGTACTGACACCTGCTATCTCTCTAATGATGGTATATGTAATGATGGTGGTGAAGATTCTATGTTCAATTTTTGTGACTTTGGCACAGACTGTGCAGACTGTGGAGCCAGAAATAGTAAGTCTTAAATATATGACTATTGCTCATCCATAGTAATCATCAGAAATATACAATTTTATAACACTTACAAACAGATCATTTTATGTGCCGGTTGCAAACAATTTTAATGTTTGTGCACAAATATCACAACAACTACAGTAATTAATCTACAGTAACTTCCATGTATAGAACGCAATAACGAATACACATGGAATCAAATATAATGATTATTCCATTGACAAATCTAGTTTACATGATATACCTATTTAAATAATATGCTCCAATATACAACATTAAGTTTACAAGAGTGTGCTTATTTCATAGTTGGAGACGGATTGTGTACTGATACCTGCTATTACTCTGATAATAGTTACTGTGATGATGGTGGTGAAGAATCTACCTTCGATTTGTGTGCCTATGGCACAGATTGTGCAGACTGTGGAACGAGATATGGTACTAGTAAGTCTTAATTATATGATTATCGCTCATTCATAGTAATCATCAGATATATACAATTTTATAACACTTACAAACAGATCATTCTATGTGCCGGTTTTAATCTGAGTGCACAAATCTCACAATAACGACAGTAATTATTCTACAGTAACCTTCCCTGTATAGAATGCAATAACGAATACATGTGGAATCAAATATAATAATTGTTACATTGACAAATCTAGTTGACTTGATATACTTATTTAAATAATATGCTCTAACATACAAGCTTAAGTTTACGGGAGTGTTTTTTTTTCATAGATCATGACGGATTGTGTACTAACACCTGCATGTACCCTAATGATGGTGAATGTGATGATGGTGGTGAAGGATCTCAGTACAGTGATTGTGACTATGGCACAGATTGTGCAGACTGTGGAATAAGACCTAATACTAGTATGTTTTAAATATATGATTATCACTCATTCATAGTAATTATCAAAAATATACAATTTGATATAACTTACGAAAAAAAAAAATAATGTGCCGGTTGCAAAAAATTTTAGTGTGAGTGCACAAATCTCACAACAACGACAGTAATTATTCTACAGTAACCTTCCCTGTATAGAATGCAATAACGAATAATTTTTACATTGACAAATCTAGTTTACTTGATGTACTTATTTAAATAATATGCTCTAACATACAAGCTTAAGTTTACGAGAGTGTTTTTTTTCATAGATTCAGACGTATTGTGTACTAACACCTGCATATACTCTAGTGATTTCATATGTGACGACGGGGGTACTGAGTCGTGGTACGATATATGTGAATTAGGTACAGACTGCGATGACTGTGGACCAAGACCACAATAAGTAAGTCGTTCGGTTTATTTCACATTCAATGTGTCATCCGTTGTTGTGTATAAGATTGCCATAGTGCATATTGTTCCCCCTCAATTACAATATCTGTTCAGTAACACAGAGATTTGTGGCAAGTTTAGTTTAGAATTGTCTTATTTACTGTTGTGTTAAATAAGTGAATACGATTTGGATAATAAAAACATTCTATTGTTCTGTCACAGCTTTTATGATATTTCATGCTTGGTACAAGTCCAGTTTAACAACAGACATGAATGGATTTGACTAATTTAATATTAATGTATATTGTTTTGAAAGCTTGTAAAACGTTTTGTTGAAATATGTCCTCTCGTTTTTGTAACCATTTTAATAATATACCCTGCATAATATATTTTTTTTTTTGAAAGTTGGATCAGCAAAACGGTCAGCAAAGGAATCGGAAAAATGGAATGTAGGAGAAAAAGCATTTTAAAAAAGGATAAAAATCCGTTCAATGTTGATAATATATTCGCATGTTACAGTAGTTTAGAATAAGGGAATAAAGGTATAACAGTTCATCATTAAAAAACAACAACAAATAAATAGCATTGTTATAATTGTATGTGTAATAATTGATCTCAAACTACAACAGATAACTTTCTGTGACTAAAGTAAATAAGAATGTTATAGTCAATAAAATGATGGCAAGTGAATTATGCGTGTTATTTCGTGAGTGGTATTCTTGATGACATATCAAATTAAAATTAAAGTAATTTAAATATCCACGCCGTTTTCACTACCTCGACAGGTTTCAGGCTATAACTGATAGTTTGGCAGATACATGGTAAAATGATGTGCATATTTTATAAAATATGTGCGTTTTAATGGTGTGTGTTCAAATGTGTTTATTCTGTTTTGAAACGATGTGCGTGTTTTAAAATGGCGTGATTATTCTTTTAAATGTCGTGTGTGACCTCCCTTGTCCACAAAACTATATATTTTCGGAAAGCTTATTGTATGAATTTTAAAATTGTGTTAGTATTTTTTGTATGGACACTGTAGTTTGAAATATGCACAAAAATGTGCTTTTTTGGTCAAAAGTGATTTAAAAAGAATTAGCTTCTAAACCATGCTTCTGTTTCCTGTCAAAACTGGTCTATGGGTACATCTGTTTACTATGAAGAAAGTGCCGTCTTGAAAACTGTCTATCAGTTGTCAATTTTGCAAGGCAGCAACTCAAATTTCACTACTTCAAGTTTATGCATAAATTAACACCCAGGCTAGTTGTCTGTACGATTGTTTTAACACTGTTCAACCAAAAACAATGCCCCAATGGCCTTTTGAAAATTTCAAAACAAAAGGTCAAAGCGTCTAGAAGCTATTTTTTTCAAAGTTCTGGGATGTGCACAAAACAGAAGCTGAGATAATTGCTAATTCGCCTAACAATTCACTCAGTGAGAAGTTTGCTAACAGTTCCAAATTTAAATGTATTATCGTTTTGTTAAAAGTTAAACATAGTGTATAATATGGAGATCCCGTCATTTCTTTATAATTTATGTACAGCCTTGCTAAATCTTGCTAAGCATTCAAAATAAATAATGTTATCTATATTTTAAAAGCGTTTTTTGAGTATGTTCCACTATTCACATTTCTACAAAATTCCACAATACTGTTTGGCTAATAAAGAGTAAAAAAAATCACTCCCAAGTGCCCACAAACCTGCATCTCTACCTTAATCGAGTTTAAGTCAAGTTTGCGAAACTTAGGTTTAGTGAAGGGGGAAGGTATTGTTCAATTTTTATGAACATTAATATAATTGTACCATACCTTCCTCCTTTACCAAACTTAAGATTCGCAAACATTTCTATGTTCAGTCACGGGATATTATTTAATTAAACTTAATTAAAACACAATGTATTGCATTGTAATTGAGTTTAATTAAACTTTATAATCGAGTTCATATCACAACTATATTAAAAGTTAATTCAACCATATTAAAAGTTAATCCAATGTGTGTCGTAACAACGACGACAAAACTTGTATGTGTGTGTGGGGGGGGGGGTCTGTGTATGTGTACAAATCATTAACCTATTCACGGCTATAGGGGCGCTGTATCATTTTCCCTCACCGTAATGAAAGAAGTATACTATTTTATGCGGATATCCTCCAATGACAAAGTAAGTAAGGATGTGTCCAGCACGACCGTTTTGTTTCAATATTCATGCTACGTGCATACACTACTGCCAAATCCCTGATATGACAAGACCGAATAAATGAATCTTTGCTGGCAAAGATGATCATAGACCCACAATCCCATGATGCTTAGCTTCTTTTCATTCTTTGTTACTACTCGGATTATACTACCACAAATTATTTTGATGTTTAAGTTTGTGATATATATGGTATAAAAATCATGTTTCCGCGACAATACGGAATTTAAATAGGCCTGTTAAGTGCTGCGTTTCATTACAAAACTCTATATATGTGTGATAACAAAGCAGGTAACTTGTCAATTGTAATTAATAGAAATTACAAGCTGACAATGGTATTAACCTAAAGCAATGCAATATTTGTTAATGCAATACAAATCCAGTCGTCTGATTGCAAATGTCACTTGTAATTCATGGTAACATTATTAACGAAAGGCAATATTTCATTTTACATCTTTATAAAAATGCAGCAACCTCCGTTTTCCACTGAAGCTAGCAAATCCATGTGTTTTTAATCAATTATTATTTACACTAAACCATTCATTGCATGAGCTTGTGCTCTGCATTGCAAGCTGCTGTAATTTTTGTCTTAGACCAACATCTGTTAACTACCATGGTTAACTACAGTTAACACTGGTTTAGTGGACTACAATTAAGCACGGTTAAGTATATTTATGAGTATAAAATTGGGTTGGTTGATCATAATATAATATACCAGTTTCTGTTGTTGACTGAGATTGCTGATTCCATGTTGTAGGCGGGCTGTAAGCTCACTGGTAGTTGTTTTGGTTAAAGGGTCAAAAAATGATCAGCAATTGTGTCTGAAATAATTCAAGCATGATCGGCTTACTTGATCTAATGTAAATCACATATCAATCATTTTCAAACACATCAAAACATGTTTAATGTAAAAATGCACACATCATTTTTAATATACACGGTATTTTAACATGCATACACTCTTAACAATCATAAACAGGCATTGTTTATAAAATCGTGTATTTTTGAAAGTCACGCGCCATTTTGAAATAAACACCATTAAAACGCACAGTTACGTAATTTTTAAAATACGCACATAATTTTAAAAGGTGGTGGTCGTCGCATGTGGGACATTTGTGTTGATAAACGTTGAATCTCTAACAATCAAATGCGCTCGTCTAACGGAAATCACGAGTACTAGATTTGACATGGGCGCGCCGTGCACTAATTACCGGCGATGACTCTTTCAATACCCTCCAACAATCACCAAAGAAATTATCTATTTAATGATTGGTGACACCTTTTTAAAACAATCAAAAAGCAAAACGGGGTTTCGAAAATTGTATCGGCATCAGTATCGGCATCCGAGTCCCAATAACATTGTCGCAACATATCCTACATATCCCGCTACCTCTATTAGTATTGTCTACTTTCTAACAACACCAATCCTGAATTTGAATTTGCAAATCAGTTTTTATTTGAGAATCACCACGTAGAATACAGTGTGTTTAGAACGATATGTTATTATTATGGTTTTATTTCAGATATATTCCATATATATAGAAAAAGAGACAAACAAAATGTAAAAAGATGAAATTACAGACATACAGATTTGAAAACAATGACTCAGTAGACTTTGTCCAATGTTGCACTAAAGCAAACTTACATCTCACATTACCATTGAGAATGGCACACACAAGCGTATTGCCAGATGTTCGTAGTCCATCTATAAAAGCATAAATTAGCTTTCTATATAAACTAGTAAATGTATTTGTACGGTTTCAATGAACATAATGCTTGCGCTACAGTCACGGTCGTACCCCACTCGTATAGCATTAACAGTTTATTTTCTATACATACACTATAACTGGCAGCAATACAAGCTAGAAGAGAATGTTTTAAATAAAAAAAGTTTAACTTCACAGCTGCATTTCTTAGATTTACATGGCATGATGTTTTCCCGCACATAGAATAAACGTATCTGCCAATCAATGTCCGCATCGTATTTCAGGTCTCGAGTTATATTATTTACTTATATTATTATGCTCCAGATAATTAAACTGGTCAACAAATTCAACACCATTATTATATATATGCAATGGTGGTCAAATGCATAGATTTAGAATTATTGAGTTGTAGATAATGTCATGCTTTTCAGCATTTAACTCACAAATATGTAACATTTTACACAAACCTTTACTAGATTACACATATATCATCTGCGTAGCTCAAGTTGTTTATAAGTTTATCACCAACAAGACAACACATGGCATGCTATGTAGTGTTGCACTGAGATTATCCATATAAATTCTAAACAGTGCTGGAGACATCTCTTTCGAATTCCATTGGAAACATTAAACAATTGTGAGACGTCTCTCCCATCTAACGCAGTACAACTGGTTGCAATACCAATTCACAAGAAGGCGTATATACATTATGTTCAATTCACTTATTAAATAACGTGGTTCACTCTGTCGAATGCCTTGGACGCGTCGATAAAACACACAAATACACTGCTACTAAGACCATTATACTGGTGAATAGTTTCTTTCAAGAGTAGAATACAGAGATCTGTGGAATGTTTTTTTAAACCAAACTAGTAAAGTAATGCTAATGAGTTTGCGCTGATAGCTGCATCTCACGCTATCTCCCCAAAAAACGTCTGGAGGTACAACGAGACACATTCTTGTTATTTCCACACCCAGGCTGCAGACACAAGAAGAATATGTTACCAAAATCTGACTACAATTCCAGTTCTTGCCATACCTAAGCCGACTCATCGATGTCTTTGTTAATGAACATGATCTGGACATGATCATGTTTACTGAAACCTGGCTTCGCGGAGATGAAACTGACCATCATACTATGGCTGAAATAACACCTTCTGGCTATAAGTTACATCATATACCAAAAACATCATGCAAGGGCGGCGGCGTTGCTGTTATGTCAAAAACCAACCTGAAAATTGCAAAGAGAAACAACAGCTCGTAGTCAAATCATTCGAATACATGCAAGTGCACCTAAGCTCCCCCACTGACCACTGGAAGTTGATTATCATCTATATTCCACCACCAAATCAGAAGAATAAAGTCGCATCTAGATCATTACGTCCAGTCTCGAACCTTACATTTGTCTCTAAAGTCACAAAGATAGTAGTTGCCAATAGATTGATCTCACAATCTTCTTGAATCCATGCAATCAGCATACAAACAATCGCAAAGCACAGAAACTGCTCTTATACTTGTTCAAAGTGATATACTCATGGTACTTGACCAACAGAAAAGTGTGATGCTAGTTTTATTGGATTTATCTGCTGCCTTCGATACTGTCGACCATTCGATTCTTCTAACACGTATGTTAAGTGGTATGGGTGTGACAGAGACTGCACTATTTTGGTTTGAATCATATCTCTCAGATCGACAACAAAAAGGTTGTATCCATGGTTCAATATCATCACTACATAAGTTAAAGTATGGCGTGTCCCAATGATCTGTACTGAGCCCTATCCTTTTCACTGTGTACAC